ATTGAAAAAAAAAAAAAAAAAAAAAAAAAAATCAGAGCCTCCTGCCATTACTATGGTTATTTCTATGTTTATCAGATGCCAGTTCCAATCCCATTAAGCAGTCTTCCAGCCGTTAACCCATTGGTATTTCTCTCAGTTGTCCCTGTAATGTTGGTTGCAATATATGTAGAATACATATATCTTGTAGATACTAACTTATAGTTTCCCCTTGAGTTTTATCTTACTATATGTTTGCCCTTATATATGATGTAATAGTCTTTCTCTTTCTGCTATGGATAATGTATTCGCACCCATGTAATATAGTAATTTTTAATCGTTGATTTATTTGCTTCATCATCCAATTGCTTGCAGTTATTTCCCTTATAATGAAATTAACAGCAAAATTATGTTTACTACATCATCGATTTGAGTTATGTTATTTATACTGGAAATTATTACAAAACCATTAAACTACGCTTCTGATATTTAAAAAAGAAAGTCACCGCGCCTTCGAATTATATCATATAAACAAGACAAAACAATTGCTTTTTCTCAAAACAAAAAATTTATAGTTGAGATTACGTGCACTGAAGCAGATAAAAAAAAAAGGTTCCTTCATGCGTATAGCTTGTGCATTAGCCAAATAATAAACTGGGGAAGCTAATGGACTTCCTGTACACTCATGGATTTCTCACACTTTATGTTATAATTCAATTTCAATCAAACATTTCCTGAATGCTCGTGCTATTAATATTTTGCTAAGAGCAAGATTTAGGAACATATATTGTAGACTCACGCTATTCTACTTTGAGTATATATTTTTCTAAACATAAAATTAATTACTCGCTACAAAATTAATTACTTTACTACTCTTCTAACAGGTTCCCAAGACTGTTCGCTCAAACAATTAGTGGTAATACTCTACTTCTTTACTTTTAAAAAATATTTATTACTTCAATTTGTAGTTATTAAAGTTATTTCAATCTTTACACTACATTAACAAACGCTACTGCCAACACTATTTGTCTGCGATTACAAATGCTATAATCTATTGTCTATTGGAAATGATACAATAAATTATAATAGAAACATCAAGATCATTACCATTATATTATTTTTCCTTCGTCCATCTATCCATCTAACCATCACAGGCTCAATTCAAATGGCGTCTGAAGTAGAATTATCGAAACAATGCTTACCTATTAGCAAGGTACCAAATACTCAGCCGATTGGGTTATAAAAGTCTTTGTTGTTCGAAGGAGTAAAGTAATTCCATACAAAAACCAAGGCACGAAGGTGTTTTCAAAACTCTTATATTAGTTGTTGAAGAGGTAATACTTTTTACATTTATAACGTATACTTTACTAACTTATATTGTCTATAATCGCATAAAATATTGGTTGCATCTTTAATAGGGGACAAAGATCCAAGCAACACTTTTTAATAAGCATGTAGAGAAATGGAAAGACTTCTTTGAACCACACAGGAGTTACTTCATTATCAATGGTCGCCTAGATCGTGTCAATCCAAACTACTCCTCGGTTCACAAAGAAGTTGAAATAGCTTTTACTGACAACACTATCATCAAGGAATCTGAAACAGACATTTCCACCCAATAATTCTTAAATGGTTTTTTGTTCTTGGAAGAGGCGGAAAAGTTAACCGACGACACTATCTTTGGTAACTATTTATAGGAATAAACAAATCATTTTCGTGCATAAATTCTATATACTTATAACTACTTCTCTAATGACCTACTTTCCAGATGTAGTTGCCATTTTAGTTACAGTGAAACCATTATTGGAGAAGGCCGTAACAGGAGAAGAGAGATAATAATTACAAATGAAAGGTCAGTTAAACATACGCATATTTCAATGAAAAACAAACATTTTACATATTATCTGCCACTATAATTCGAGATACATTCGGATTCTTTCATTTTTAAAGCTTCAAAATCAGCCCTTAGAGTTTGAAGTTTTACCTTCTTCACCTTGTCAACTCCTTAAAGAGAATTTCGTAAAATCCCCCAAGCTTCCTTTGAGGTGGTAGCATCTGCTACTGATCACGCCCAACTATGTCTTATAAAAAGGACTAAGTGGTCGTTGCAAATATAATCTGATTTACAAGTCCGGATTCGAATTTCACAGAGAACTAAGGCTTAGCTACAGCTGTTCACTATCACCAAGAAGATAAGCTTGAACAATTCCTAACTTATAGATATTAAGATTCTTGTTTTTAACTAATTAACTAACAAATTAAAATAATAAATTAATAACTACAAATACTAAGGGTTAGAGACAAGATTAAGGAGGTCTAGAGTTATGATTTTCCCAATTGTCGGAATCCTTCCCGCTATGTCTTCTATAATTTTGCCTAAGTATTCTCTACCGATCATGAGCGCTCTGCGTGTTGTAATTCTCTCCCGAGTAATTACTAAAATTTACTAGACATACTCTCCCGAGTTACGCTAGCTGGCTTCAGTTACAACTCACTTAGATCGCACCTAAGGTTTCGTTATCCCTAATCCCACCTTTAAACGCTTGGTTATTGATTCCTCACATACGTCGGGAGTGATGTTGTTCAACAACTACCTAAATATGCACTCTCACCCGAGTAATACATACTAAATAGGTACAGCTAATTGAGAGCTCTTCAACCAACCATAATATAAACGTAGTTGAACAAATAGAGAAAAACTACACCTCAATTATATAAAAACATAACAAGAATTTATCCTACAAAAGGTTCTATCAAAACTCTAGATAACAAATTAGCTATTCATAATAGTATGTAAAACTACAATACTAAAAGTCATAACCAATAATGAAAAATAGGAAGAGGAAGGAAAAACTCGTAGAAGAATTCTCCGCCTTGCTCCTATTGAGTTTCTGCCTCCTTAGGTCGAATCTGTGTCAAAAATTGGTCTCCTCCCTCAACATACCGTTTTCCCATGTATATATACCAAGTAGGGTTGGGCCCAAATAAATATACCTTCTCCAATGTGAAAAAGGACACTTTTCCCGGGTTTGACTAGCGCGGCCACACTCGTGACCGCGCTAGTGGCCACGCATATTGCCTAGTATTCTGCCTGATGAGCGCGGCGTGAGCGCGGCCGCACTATTGACACGCACTTTTCACCCTGTTCCTTTTGGAATTTGGAAAAATGTAAAACATGAATGTTGTAGGTCTTTGAGTTAGATTCCCAACCATATATTGTGTATCCCAAATGGAGTTCTGAGAAAAAGGTTATGTGCATTTTACTAGATAGTGCGCAATATACCTACTCGAGTCTTCGTTTGTTCTTAACTATCAAAGTTGACCCCTGACATGATCCCGACTTAATTACTTGGACTTTTACTCAGACTTCAAAGCTCCAAATCACTTGAATTCATTCCATAACATCTATATAGCTCGGAATCACTCCTACAAGGTATAAAACACACAGTTAGCGCAAGACACTAGCGATTAAAGCTCAAACTCAATTAAAGTGCAGTAAATTAGAGTGTAATAAGCGACTGAAATACGTAATTATAGCTTATAATCAACACCCCACACTTAAATCATTGCTCGTCCTCGAGCAATCAAACTACATTTTTTATAGACACGAGCTTTTAAAACAATTCTCCTAACTCATCACACCAAAAGTATTTAAAATAGACTAAGCACAAAAACGTAACATCTTCACCTCAAGATTTGACTCACAAGTACCACGCATTATTTACAACTCACCCACTTACTCTAACATAGAGGTCACTGACATTACCTTTCCTTCATGAATCAAGTGCCGTCACACAACTATATTTTTTTTTCAATTCAAGTGGATCTTACTTGTTCAAAACAGTGCACCTTTCTTCTGATTTCATTAGTTCCACTCAAAGCCAAACCAACCAC